TATTTCTACCGCAAAAAGGGGCAATGATTGACGGTCATCAAGGTATGATAAACCAAGTCATAAATCAAAAGTTTTGCGTGATAAAATCACGCAAAAAAATGATTCGACCCTTATATAGGTGAAAACTCATTTTTGCGATTCTACGATGTGGAGCTTTTGTGGACCACCACCATAATCAATGTCGTTCACCAATTTTACACCCCTAGTTCTCGTAGCTTCTACAGAAGCCATCTTTTTTATTACTTTGTACTTTTTCCTTCAAGGATTTCGAGATCTAATTCGCTAGAATTTTGAGGTATCTAGTTTCAGACGATCAATGAGAGTGATAGTTTGGAGTAGTGTAAAAGACCTCTCCAGAAAGGTATCAGGCTTCAAAAAGTTATGAAATCAGGGGTTGGACGAGAATGTGACGGCGAAAGTTGCATAGAAGAGGTATTTGGACGAGATGCCCACGTAAGTGTGTGCTATTGCGTACAACTGGCTGCAGTAAGCTGCCGGCGTGGCACATGTGCGTCCCATTGCGAATGCTGCTGCCACTGCCTCCTCTTCAACGCCGTGATAACTCGTCCGCCTTGGGTGTGTGCGTCGGCTAAGCTGGTTATGGGACCTTTGCTATGTCCTATCTAAGCAGTTTTTCGACCCAACACCGTCCTTTGTGCTATCCATAGGAGCCATATATCCATTTCAGCGAAAAATTTCTGAAATAATTTTCATCGTAAATTGAGCCTTTCAGCTTTTATTTATGTAACTTTGGTCACTGCAGTGGTTGCAGTGGTTGGAAGTTTAGAGGTAAAGGACAAAGGATAAATTCTTCGTAAGTTGGTTTATCCTATTCGAAGGATGCGCCTTCGCATTCAACTTCGATTCAGGGTTCGAAGTTTACAAAGTTCACGTATCTATATAATCTCCATGTCTGCCTTTCTTATAATACCCTTAAAAAATTCAGTGCTTCCGTGCTCCTTGAGACGCATTAAATATTCCACCTTTAGAAGCCTGTTTTGCACAGAAGCACTGAATTTATATCAGCAAGCTTTTGAAAGCGGCTCAGTGGCCCCAAGAGCTGCATCATTCGTTACAAATTCGTTCCCCTTGACGACGATTTCTCCTCAGTTTTCATCTTTTTCATAGCATTTATCATAGCATAGCATAGCTTAGATATGGCTCGATCTTATACGAATAAAAGTTGAGTTTTTTTACTTATTTTCTTTACATTAGTCAAGAATAAAGCTTATTGGAGTTAATCGATCCCATTCAAGGGATGCGCCCTCGCATTCGGCTTCCAATCAGAATTATAGTGTCGTTTTGGACTCATATGCTGTCTATACAATGACTTGCGGTGGCTGGCCGATGTTCAAGTCAGTGCTTTTATATTCCCAGACGAATCTGGTACCAATTAACAGACCTCAGATGGGAGGAAGGCTTGGTGGCGATCCGGGAATCAAACCGTTGGCCATGCGTGTGCGATATATTTATTCCAGTAGATCATTTGAATTTTTGTTGAGTGGGAGGGAAGCTAGCTTTTTTCAGTTCAATCCTTCTTCTCGAAGTAGAGCTATCTTAGCATCACGGCAGAGTACTCGAAACTGCCCAGCCAACTCGGGAACCCTTACACCTAGGCGGGGGACGGAACTTACGTGCGTCCGAGGATGCGTGCGGCAAATTGCGCGGCGAAGTGCATGGGGATTCAACGACCTCGGCGCCTATCATTGGGGCCCAAATTTGTAGTAAAATAGATCAGTAGGATCGGCTAGCCCCACTAAACTACTGTACTTCAAGTTTGTACCCGAATAATAGGCGCATGAGTTGTTCGAATCGCCACGAACTTCGCCGCGCACTTTGCCGCGCGCATCCCCGGACGCACGAATGTACCCATACTCCACCTAGGCATTACAGATGGTACAGGCCCGTATGGGTTAGCTCTTGATCAAGCACACAATCCTCTCGACTCTTGAAATTTTTTCATTTGTGGATTTAGATTATCATGTATGGCATGTGCTATTTAAATAAATTAATAATCTACGCGTATATGGTGTGGTGGTAAGTGTTGCACTACCACGTGCGCATGGTCCGGGATCGAATTCCGGATTGGTTCTCGCCCTTACCAACCGAGTCATCCATCCTTTGGGATTCGATTATTTGGTATCAGACTTGTCTGGGAGGATAAAAGCACTGACTTGTCTATTGGGTGGCCATGCAAATTATGGTATAGCCCTCATGTGCGTTCAAAACGCCACTACGATCCTGAGGGCTATTCTTACGTGAGGCGCGTCCCAGAAATGAATTCGTTCTACCCAGAAGACTTTACTCTTATCGCTTGATTACATTTTGATCTCTGAACACTAGCGTATTGATGCGATTGGCATAATGAGATGGCAAACCTTGCCACATTTCGATTTTTTCCACTGTCATAGCTTGGAATCGCGCCTATTTGACGAAGACGGTACCCGAAAATGATTGTTTTCCTTTCGTTGTCGTTTTCAATAAAAAGGGGTCTCGGTAGAGAGTTCCGGAATCAAGGTGATGTAGTTCCGAGGCATCTCGTACCAATTCCACTTTCATCCCTTCAAAAGTGGAACTTAATTGGCCTGGGAGTATCAAAACACTGAAGTCACGACCAGTGCTTATTCGAAGGCTGCCGCGACTCTAACGAAAACGAGGGCGGGTCTTTAAAATGTTTTCTACAAGTCTGGTTATATTACTTTCCAGCACTTATGGAGGGCGGTGGTTCCTGCCTAGAAAAGATCGAGGAGAAGCGGGCTGCTCCTCATAGGACGTGAGAATGAATGTCACGTACATACACATTGTGATAACTTGAAAGTCACGAATGACTGACAACTGCTGGCCCAGGAATGGTTAAGGGTGAACATGATGGGCAAAAGACCAATGTTCAGAGGCCTCGCCTTAAGATGAGCAACGAGTACGAATCCCACCCGAAATTTCGAAGACGAAGCGCCTATCTTGAACCACACAGCTTTGCAGAGGACGATATATCATGCTTTGAAAATCATACAGAGTAAAGAAAGTTTGCTTTGGACAGGAAACTCGCCTAAATATAGAGACCATCGGTATGGACCGATAAGCAATCAGAATTTTTTCTTTGCACTCCAAAAGCTCATAAAGTCATTCTGACAGTAGATCTAATGGGTAATGAGAAGTTTTTCTGCCTTGAAATTGTCTTGATAGAGGTTTCCATATAGCATATGATTGGCATGACCGATAAGAGAAGAATTATCACTGCTTTACCAGTATCAGAATTTGCAGGCATTAAGCAGTTTATGGAGCCTTATGACACAACATTTCTGTCTTTCGGTGGGTCTGAGCCTTTTTCTGGAGCTCGAGGAAGGTACTGCTGTACATAACTGTCTCTAATTTTCCCATTAGCACATCATATAATAATTATTATTAATTATTATCACAATAGGGAAATTACAGTACATTGCGGTTCCAGATATCGTGTAATTTTTCGTTTGAAACTGGTTCGTACATATTTTGAATCGTGCATTGTGCCAACTTTTCGCACATTTTCTAGCTACCGTATCTACCGTAAGCTCATGATTTCAGAATGGTAAGAATCGAAGACGGCAGTGTTGATGGACGACGTGGATCACCAAGTGAAGTATTCTCGCAGGAGATCAATGATGCACACAAGAAAAGTAATCGGAATGGTTCAGGGTATGTGTTGATTTTGCATGCTTAAAACATGGTTATTGATTGGACCTAATGACCTTTTTTTGTGCGCTTTCTATCGTGCTATCCCGTTCGATTTTGCGTAATCCCTGTTCTGTTTGCCCTTTCGGGGGCAATGGCGTTGACATATCCATTTCGGCTAGCATCGACGATTTTCTTTACACCTTCCGCTTCACTTCGTCCTACAACTGAACGGCTTTAGCCTTGTAGTTAACCCTGACTGTTCTAATTATTATTATATTAAATCCCATTTAATTTCACCGGATCCAATCAATACTACCTCGAATGTATTATTCCCATCGAATCAGGTCGCCCTACCACGTTTGCTCGATCTTCAGATCGAGGAGGTAGGGTTTATACCTTTTTTTTCAGCATTATTGATCCATCTGATTAGCCAGTTCAAGTGATAAACAATAAAATCCGATCCAATTAGTACCAATTTAATACTAGTACTAACATTAATAATATGTAATAATAATAAATACTAATAGTTATAATGACAAGCAATAATAGTAATAACAAATGTTAATAGTGATAAAAAACAATAATTAGCAATAATTAACAATAATTAAAGATAATTGTTTATAATTACCAAGAGACTCATGAAAAAGAATGTCTTTCTGAATGGAAAACACAAAGACCAAGCACGGCTTTCAGGCTGACCCGCACTTTTAAATTTTACCGTAATCTTTGATTACTTCATACTACTGCATGTAGTAAAATGTGGTAAAATAACATAGCAGTTGAGCAGTAGTTGTATGATTTGGTTGTAGGAACACGGTAGAATTGATTCCTCATTGGATATCTTTACTTATCAAGGTAGTCGAAGAAATTGGCGGCACAGGTAGTACCTGTGCCGCCAATTTCATTCGTTCATTTCATTCAATGGGTTCATTCATTCATTTCATTCAATGGGTTATTCATGCAAGTGATATCTAAGTTGAAGATAATTTCATCTGGAAATGAGTACGATTCTCTAAATCATCAGAATTCCTTTCGTAAAATGTGACCCCANATTTTTGGAAAAGTTTAAAAAAGCACTAGGTAAGAAGTTTTGGGCAAGGGAGCCAGCCATGAAAGCCATAAATTGTTCAAAAATCCTGGTTTAAACTGATTTTTCCAATGATTTCTTCTTGTGTTGTTGAACCTGCTTCTTGATCTCACCGGAAAACGAGCTCGCGGAACATATTTTGTGGTTATCCGTGATAATAACTAGTGATATCCGTAGAGGACATAAGGATGACCAGACTCTCTATTCTTTCCGCCTGTTTATTTGAAGTTCTAGGGCCCTGAAATAATGCCGAGATCCTTCTGAAATCTTTCGCGGAAGAGTTTTTCTGAAAGACCAAATCTCGGAACAACTAAATGAAAAACCAAAGTGAATGGTCTCATTGTCACATGTTTGTTCAATTCTTTTCGTAGATGTCGTTGGAATTCCTTTGATATCTTTTACTCATTTTTTCTTTCCTAATGGACGGTCGTTGAAGTTTACATAGCTGTGATCACGCAGCTGTCATGTGAAGCACAGAAGCTGGGAGGACCTTCAAAGCAACCCACTGCTGACCCGGGTTTCATATTTGTTCAGGATGGCCGGACCTCAATCAGCTGGCAAACTCTATAGGCTTCACATTTTTTCTACCGACCGTACCTGAAAGAAAGACGATTTTGCTAGAAGAGTAGTGTGCGTGGCGTATATGTCCAAGGCAGGCCTAACTACTGATGTCTTGAGAAAATTCCCTTCTGATAGCCAAACCGCGATGTTTGAGGGCTAATATCGGTGGTTTCTCGGAATTGTACCCCTAATTTGATCGATTTTTGTTAATTTCTCGTTCTCGAGCCCTCTTTTTTATCCAGATGGCAGTGACAGGTTGCAATTGTACCACTTTTTCGAAAACATTCCTATTCACCCATCAGAATTAAAAACTATGCCAGCACTGCTCATAGTGCAGTGAACGGGAATGCTTTTTCTATCTCGAAATGGGGACCGGTTGTCATTTAGTCGGGTCTCTCAGGCAGTATATCAACGTTGACTGGCCTATTTGAATTCTGACGTCACCGTCCACGGAATGCATCAAATGGGGATAAATCGTATAGCAAAACTCGAACTATTCGAGTCAGCCAGCCTGTTTGGTTTTTGTTAGGTTTCTCCTGTCGGGCTCTACATAATCGTCTATATAAAAATGGTTTTAGTATGATCAGATGCATGTTCTCTGCATCAGTTGCTCTGGTAAGTGCATCTAGTGCAAGAAATACCTGGCTGTAAAAAATTATCCTGATTGGTAACGAGTGATAGGGGTTCATAAAGTCGAACGATTTTGTGCGTGTGTGCAAACCTCTCAAATTGGTCGTCCCAACTTTTATTCAAGCTTTTTTTGAACAGTCCTCACCATAGCTTCTCGATTCACTAAATGAGGGCGAGGGCTGGCTAGTGCCAAGAGGGACCACTAAGGCACGTATGATGCGGTGACCAAATCATCCGACACCCGCCCAGACCGACAAACCCTAAAAACATCGATTTATACATAGGATTACCTCCGTAAGTCAGTTTTCGGCCCACCCATGAGTCTAAACCTTACCGAGATTCTGAACGGAGGTCAAGGGAATGGGTGCATCCTAATGATAAGAGCGATCAGTGTTTGGAACCTTGCGATTCCGTGCTATTTATTATTAATTCGTTCTGGTTACCAAATTTGGCAGATTGTTCTCACAACATTGGTCCCACGACGAATCGTATAAGTCTTTCCCAATAATTCTTTACTGTCTTCGTTCCCTGTAGGATGGATGGTGTAAGGAAGGTGGGAGTTTGAAAATCTCTGCAATGAACGAAAGAAGAAACGGGATGATCAGCAGATAAAGCTTTGCCTTCTAATAAGTCCATGTACTTGTTATAGTCGCCAAAGCTAGCTGTTTGATCTAAAACTGTCTTGGGTTCTTAGCCAATATCACTGCCAGACAACAATCCTGCCGGAAATAACAAATAAAAGTAGTAACAAAAAATGTGGTGACTCAAGAACCAGTCGCTATCATAGTTATGTACTTCCGTGAATCACTCTGACGGGAAGAATGCCATGACTGTCATTAATATTTACCCGTTTATTTATCAAATAATAAATCTATGTGTGGGTAAATTTTGGACGAATGTGTAGTGTAGGGGCTAGAGGCGCCTTCGTAAGCGCATGGTCAAGGATCGAATCCCGCATGATATCGACCCAGTCCGACCAAAGCTTCCATTCCTGTGGAGTCGGTTGATTGGTGCCATGCTCATTTTAGAGGGCAGAGGCTTTGACTATTCACTGGCTAGCCAGTATAAGGCATTGTAAACACCACACATCCATTCAAACGTCACTATGATTTCGAATGGAAGTCGTACGCAGGGTGCATACCAAAAACATGGTAGAGCTGATGTAACCTTGAAACTTGAAGAAAGGTCGTAATCGATCAAAGCCGTTTCTGGTTCCTCCACTTCTGAAGATTGTAGGAGAAGATATCTCTCAGTATAGCCAATTTCGAAACCCTTGCGTCGGGATGATTCTGACGCCTTGTCTATAAATGCAGGCTTCTAGCCCTGATCAAGGTGCCCAGTCTAGCAAGGAAGGCCTTGTGGATCCTGACCAGGTTAGACACTTCCAGC